ATGGACACCATGTTGTGTGTTATAACCTCAGATGGACACCATGTTGTGTGTTATAACGTGTGTCTGTGGTTCCTCTGATCTGTCTCATGTTGAAGTCTTGTCCTGCTGTGACAACTGAATCTATGAGATGACGTCAGAGCTGCTGATGGTGTCTCATACGTCCAGGGGGGATAAAACACTTCTTCTGGTGTTTGTCACTCTGAAGAATGTGGGAGAGGGAGACACACACCCATACACACACACACACACACACACACACACTGTGACAAAGACTCGTCACACTGAGTACGGGCAGCACATAGTAAAGATGGCACTCAGGAAATGCTCACACATGGTTAGCCACACACATTATTAACCCCTGTCAATGTGGTGAGCGCGCGCACCACAATAAAGCCCCAGCCGCATTTCTATATACACTGCAATACAATACAATGCTGAGGAAATCAGAATCATGTTATTCTACGTCTCATTTAATATTCATTCAAAGAAAATGTAACAAGACATTAAAGGACGGGTCATCAGGGAGCCACGCCCCCCTCACAAAGTGTTCAGGAAAATTCGTGTCTTTCCTAATAACAAGCCATGGATGACCAGAGAGGTCAGACTCCTGCTGAAGGCTTGCAACGTGGCCTACAGGTCTGGGGACACGCAACAGTACAGCGCTGCCAGGGCAGAACTGAGTAGGGGTATCAGAACTGCCAAGGCAGCCGACAGGAGAAAAATTGAGAGCTTGGCAAGACATACGCCATATCATAAATCAGAACACAGACACAAACACAACCACCGGTCACAGTGCCGCACTGGCAGAGCAGCTCAACCGGTTCTTCGGCCGTCAAGACAGGGAGGGAGCAGGGACTGTTATCACCTCAGCAACAGCTTCAGGTAACCAGACACTCTCTTTGCAGACCACTGAGGTAGCACGCACACTTCGTAACATCAGCGTGCACAAAGCAGCTGGCCCAGATGGGATCGTAGGATGGGTTCTCAGAGACTGCTATAGAGCTTGCTGGAGTATTCACAGACATCTTCAACACATCGCTAGTACAGTGCTCTGTTCCCACCTGTCTGAAAACATCTGAAATAGTGCCAATACCAAAGCAGAGTGTAATAACTGGGCTCAATGATTACAGGCCAGTGGCACTAACACCGATTATTATGATGTGTTTGGAGAGACTAGTACTGAAGAACATTAAGGCTGCTCTCCCTCCTACTCTGGACCCCCACCAATATGCAGACACAGCAAATAGATCAACAGATGTACTGACCCACCTTGAACAGCATGAAACATATGCACGGCTGTTATTTGTGGATTACAGTTCTACATTTAACACTATTCTTCCTTGCAGACTGTTCCACAAGATGACCAGCTTGGGCCTCCCTTATAACATCTGCCTGTGGATATGGGACTTTCTAACCAACCGGCCATAAACAGTCAGGAATGGGAATGTGGACATGGAGGTGCTCATGAATGCCTACAGCGAATATGAGCATATATTTTATAAACAAAGTAATGGCACTAAAGCTGCCAAGGAGAGAGAGACAGCATGGGAAATTTAGCAAGCAGGATCAGCTTTGATGGGATGTTGGTGGCTCAGTGGATAGAGCAGGCGTGCCATATGGCTTTTGCTGCAGCGGCCCAGGTTTGACTCCGGCCTGTGGCACCTTGCTGCATGTCACTCCCTCTGTCTCTCTCCCCTTTCACGCTTAGCTGTCCTGTCAGTTTAAGGCAAAATACCCCCCCATTTTTTTTTAAAAAAAGAATCCTTGCTCATTTCAGCAGCTATTTTAAGCACATATAGATGGTTGATGACTTGTTTGAAATTTGAATCCTTTAAAAACCATCATATCCAATAAGTCCCTGCTCTCTCTCTCTCTCTCTGTCTCCCCATTTCACACACTGTCCTATCCATTAAAGACAAAAGCCCACTAAAATAATCTCAACAAAAAAACAGGTAAGACATATTTGACTTGGCCATGACTGTACCTTCCTTTAGTTTGATTCATATTTGATTTATTAAACAAAGTAGCTTCAATAACCTGTCATTCAGTGGCTATGTCATTATGTACTGTAGGCCACCAATATCATATAAAAAGCTACCATTGGCAAAAAACATTTGCTCTGATGAGAAACTAATGAAAAACGGTATGGTTCAAACAGATATTCATTGGGGAAAGACAGCACATCTAGACGGGGTCTGAAGATCCTCTCCCAGCATAAAGCATTGTAAATTAATTCTGCCTTGATATCGATCAGATTTTCTACATATGAACAGCCCATGTGTGTCTGCCAGCTTGCTTCAGGCTCAGCAGTAGGGAGGAGACAGGGTGAACTCAGGGTTTCTTATAGAAAACCTGCCAGCGAGCAGGTTAGGTTCACAGAGTCAGTTGCCATGGTGATGGACTCAGAGTTTGACTTACCTCTCTGTCTGGAGCTGAAAACCCAGAGTTTCCCTCATCTCAGGGTTAACACACTCAGAGTTTTCACTAAACCTGCTTTCTGGAACACCCCCCAGGATTAGTGAAAACTCTGAATTTGTTCAGCCTGAGATGAAACCAGTTCAGTGTAACCCTGAGTCAGTTACTATGGCAACATACTCCATGAAGCTAACCTGCTGAGTCACAGGTTTGTTTCATGTCAGCCTGAGGCTGAGCGTGTAGCAGGAAGTAGAAACATGGCGTGTCCTTTAGTGAATGAAGTGGTGGAGGTTGAGGCCCAGTGTATTCAGAGGCTGTTGTGTAAGGAGAAGGTGATTAGAGCCTGTTTGGATGTCTCCCTGGAGGAGTGTCTATATGAAAGATACTGTTTGACCTCACACTCTATCATTTATCTAACAATCTGTTCCACCCACATATATCACATATTACACATCCTGGATTTACATTATCATCACAGCACATTTTATGCATTGTCCTTTGATTCTTTTCTTTATAACATCAGAGACACTGAACACATCAGAGAGACAGCGGTTTGTCGGCCCGTAAGAAAAGTGTCTCTGGCTCTGAAAAGACTTTGGACCCTTGTTGTGGTTTTCCCTGGACATAAATCACAATCCATTATTAAAGTAATTACCACGGAGCATCGGTGGC